CAAGGGGAGACCCCCGATGTATCCTGGTATATCTGCGCGACCAAGAGACATGCCCATAATGCCATCGAATTTAGAGTTGCCATAATTATATGTTTCGTGAAGGGCGAGACCGAAAATTTGTCCATGAGCAGTGAGACCACCCATTGAGATATCGTCAGTAGCAACAATACCAGAGACGTTGCCAAAGCCATAGCCGTTAAGGAATTGCTTGTTTTCGGTAGAGAAGGTTGGCGATTTGGTAAAATCAAAAGATTTCTTTCCCATGCAGGCAATGTCGTCATGGCACGATGGATGTGGTAACCTGGTTATCAGAGCATAACAACGTTTATTTGTTAACAAACTAATATACACAAGTTGATGAATTTTGAAATGATAATTAATTGCTTATGTTATATTCACCAGAGATCTGCCGAGCCAGTATCTAAGCACACGTTGAACTTTTGCTTTGAAATTTCAATTTCGGCATAGTATAAAGGACTAACCTCCCCGGTGTTGAAAATGGGTACGTTAACAGGCGCTTTTTTGAACGTTCTGTCAGCGATGGAATCTTTCTCGTTCGTCATGGAATCAGCCAACCTTTTGCTGGTTGGAACTGCATTGATGCTGACGATAGACGCAATGGCAACGAAAATAATGCAGACAAGCTTCATGTTTAATACTTTGAATATCGCTTACAATGGTAGAAATATTGTGTTCTGCAACGATTATGATCGCTGAGCTTATATATACGTGACGCATAACAGCCGCAGTCTTGGCATTGGCGTGTCTAATTCATCTGAAAATTAATTTAGTAAATACGCTGCGTCGAAATATTAGGGGTCGCGGAACTAACGTAATATATCGCACAATAAAAAAGTGAAGGTAATAAAAAACTGTACAACTACTATAAAGTTTTTACCACCAATGTTTACTTTCTGGGATATTAGTCAACATTTTAGTAAATATTAGAGGGAAAGCCGGCATACGGTTTTATGTGACAGACATCATAGATGACTAATAGGAGGAGATCATACCCAGATCAAGGTTTCTCTATTATCAAATAATTTAGACTCTTTCTGCATATGGAATGGCCATTTATCAAATATCGTCACTAATTTGACTAGCGTATTATGTAAGGGCAACCGCTTGTTCATGTATGTATTACTGCAAATTTTGAAATAAAGTAGACTAGCCAATTTTTGTTGTTCAAACAGAAACCTTATTGTGCAAAATTGTACATTGAACGTCAAGTATAGTGTACTTATCCTCGAAAGTTTTACACTTGGTTTGATCGTTTTAATATGGGGCTTAAAATATGAGTTATGACATGCGTCATCGTTATAGTAACAGAGTATGGCAATCACATTGGTCAACTTGTATGTCAACCAATAATTACAGAGATTGAGTAACGTTTTACTCCAAAACGAGACAAAATCATTCAATCGATAACAAAGTTATTATTAGTCAATGCGACTTGAAACTTTGAGGAGATTGATTAAATGAAATTCCCACGGTAGCGGCGTCGTGACATGTCAGGTGAAAGCTCGACACCAATCTCACAGCGCGTTCCTACATGATTTATAAGCAACTTATTGATTCAATCTAATCGACTTGGGGAAAACAAAATTACAACATTGGGAGAGATTGCAGACTGTCTGGGTAGATTCTGTGAGATGGTTATTATTAACTCGCTTATTCAAATAATCTTTATAGCAGGTAACCGGGCTTTTTGAAATTAATCTCTGTTATATTCACGTCCACTGTGCATAGTTTTTTTTAGTAAATGTTATCTTTCAGCACAATTACTTTTATTCTGTAATTGTCTTACAACTTTCCTTGTCAAACTGTAATAGTTCTAAATAAAATTATTATTTTTGTTTATTTCAAGGTAAGTTTATCGCACGTTTTGGTAAAAGTGTAAACGCTCCCGGCATTAGCGTTAACGGAATCGATCTTGTCATTGATTTTTTGTAAAAAATTATTATTATCGTTTAATTACGCGTTTAGTGTAGGAATTTCTACGACCTACAGTAATAAGCTTTCGAAATTAAAAAAATAAACGTAAGATTTAAATTAAATAATAATTTAGGGCTAGCGTATAGTATACACGGCTCTTACTGAGGACGATAAATCTACACGAACGCTTTCCCACATGTTTCGACCCGACATTATAGTAATATGGTGTAATATAATACGTACTTTGGTAAACTGATTTCTATTAAGCGTATATGTTATGTAATTAACTATTTTAATAAGAGCAATAATAAATTGTTATAAAATAGTGGTTAAAATGTTATAATTTTTGCAACTTTAAATAAAATGGTTTAATAAATAAGTTTAATTATAAGATTGTGTGTATTGTCAGAATCAAGGTTAGAAATGAAGTAATTCTCCCGCTTTGTGGTACAAGCTATCACTGCAGCGTTCCTCGGTTATAACTGCGGAAACGCCAACGACAAGATTGATTTATAAGTACAACTACTCCCAACTTTTTGTCATTTATGATATGTACAATTTCCTCATTTGTCCAAAAACCTCATTGCTAGTACAAATAAGGGAGTAACTTGGACGATAGCAGAACAGTATCTTCAGCCCTATTTTCATATCTCAATAATTATTGCCAAGACATTATAGAATATCGATACGTCTGTGACACCGCGTTCATTGTTGATCTTAATATAGAATTAAGCTAATTGTCAAATATGGAAAGAACCACCGGTTGTTATTGCTCCTGACTTTTCTGATCAAATAGGGGTGCTTCCCCCCCCCCTCCCACCCCTTTTTCGTTATTATAAACTTTATTCAGGGATTTGTTCTTCCCATTTGTTGCGCATACCGTGAATAAATAAACTTGGAAATATCTCCCCTTTGTCCAACCAGGTCTTCTTATTGGTGACTGAAAGAATCAGACCTGAATCACGCTATCCTCCGTCAAACAATACGCAAAGGTCAAATTCAGTATTTTGTATTGCATCAGAAGGACGCGACGTACGAATAAAAAAGTCGGAAAAAGAAAATAAACAGCGTAAAGACAAGTAAAATTACGAAGCTTACTTTGGCACTTTTATTGTTATATACAAAATAAAGTAAATACAATTCACTGAAATAAGTATCGGTTACTTTTAATTTGTATAACAGCGTACATAATATTTAGTTTCCCAAATTTTTACATGCTGTAGCCTAGGCATCTCATAAATATACATGGCAAGTTACACCTTATTTATTTTGACTGTTAATTGTTTACAAAATAAAAGGTAGATCTGTCCAAACTACAAACGTCCACTTTCGATTTCAATGGCAAAATGTCTAAAATTCAGAATTGACTAAAAGTGAACGCTGTCAGATTATTGGAGAAAAAATATTAATAAACTCTAGGCTTTGCTAAAACAAGTTTAGACAAATAATAAAAGACAAATTTTAATAATGCATCAACATAGTCCGACAACAGACAAAAAAAGGTTGTTTCTTTCTTTAAAAACTTGTCTATAAATAACATTAATTTCTAAAGTTTGATTCAAAATAACAATATTATCATTAAATAGCTTGTGTTTTAGGAAGAGCAAATCCAACCCTCAAATTTGCAATGTCAAAAGTAGCGTATACGGTCTTTAGAAACGGTACACCAACTATCCAAATATTAGGATCACCAAAGACATCCCCGCGTTTGTTTTCCTGACCGCCTGGGCTTTGAATACTCGAAGAACAAAGGCCGTCAATTTTTATCGGTTCTGCGGCCAAGGTAATATTATAGTCGATGCCAGCAAATTGAAGAGAGACAGCAACTGTGGTATTGCACGGAATAAAGTATCTGCCACTAATTTTAAGGGCGCCGTCAATACTTGAATGAACGGTCTTAGCATCGATGTCCGAAGCAATGATAATAGGTGCACCAGTGTCAAGAAGCGCCATCTTATTTCTAAAGTTCAAAGGCGTACCGTTGACCGCAACGTCATCAAAACGAGTAAACCAACGTCCCGAATCAGGGTATAATAATGTATTGAAATGAAGACTTCCCTCGAATAAAGAGCTATCATAACCACCAAGAGTAAGCTGACCGTGAGTACCGCCCTTTCCGCCAAAATAAAAGCTAAATATTGGTTCGTCGACGACTTTTTGCTGGACCAAACTATTAAACAATGGGAGATTTCCGATGTACCCTGGTTCATATATGCGATTAAGAGACATGCCCATAATGCCATCGAATTTAGATTCGCCATAATTATATGTTTCGTGAAGAGCAAGACCAAAGATTTGTCCCTGAGCAGTGAGGCCACCCATTGAGATATCGTCAGTAGCAACAATACCAGAGACGTTGCCAAAGCCATAGGCGTCAAGGAAATGCTTGTTTTTTGTAGAGAAGGTTGGCGATTTGGTAAAATCAAAAGATTTCTTTTTCATGCAGGCAATGTCGTCATGGCACGATGGATGTGGTAACCTGGTTATCGGAGCATAACAACGTTTATTTGTTAACAAACTAATTATACACAAGTCGATGAATTTTTGAAATAATTAATTGGTTATATTTACCAAAGATCTGCCGAGCCAGTATCCAAGCATACGTTGAACTTTTGCTTGGAAATTTCAATTTCGGCATAGTATAAAGGATTAACCTTTCCGTTATTGAAAATGGGTACGTTAACAGGCGCTTTGGTGAACGTTCTTTCAGAAATGGAATCGGCCAACTTTTTGCTGGTTGGAACTGCATTGATGCTGACAATGGATGCAATGGCAACGAAAATAATGCAGACGAGCTTCATCACTTATAATTGTAGCATATCATGCTTAACACGGTTTTTGCAACGATTATGTTCGTTGAGTTTGGCAGATATATATATACGCATAACAGCCGCAATCTTGAAAGTGGCAGTGTCTAATTCATATAATCTATTTAGAAAATTATTTTAGTAAATACGTTATTGGCTTATATCGAAATATTAGAGACCGAATTCTTTTTGCGGGAAAGTGGGAAAATATGTCATATAACTAAACGTAGTACATATCACAAAGTAGAAAATTGAGGGTAATGTACAATAAAAAACCATATATGGGGAAATTCAAAAATTTTACGACGTCAATATTTACTTATTAGTCAATATTGGCGTCTGTTTTGTGTGACAGACAATAGTATTAATAGTAATTAATAGTAAGAGTACTTAGAAAAAGTAAAAATAGATTATGCATGCAAACAGACGAATCGAAGTCAAAGTTTCTCTGCTAAGCCCCAGCTCTGTCAATAATTCCGACTCTTTCTGCAATACGGAATGGCCATTTATCAAATCATCATCAATTGTAACGAACACAGGTGGACTAATTTGACTAGTGTATAAGTGTCGGGGGAAAAAAAGAGTTTGTGGCACCCAAAGTACAATTAACCTTAATTTGACTAGTCTGTTAAATAAAAATAATGTCCCCGAAAATCCCGTTATTAGATTACACAGTAAATTCCCGATGGCAAAATCTATGCACAATGAACTTGGATATAACGATAGCATTTTTCTTCGGTTAGTAACAGATTTTTGTTACTTCAATGATATAAAAGGCAACGGTTTGTTATAGTGTATTACTGCAAATTTTGAACATGATATAAATAAATTAGACTGGAAGCAATGTTGAACGGGAACTCATTGTCTGCAAAATTGCACATTGAACGTCAAGTTACAGCTCAAGAGTTTTATAATACTTGATTGTTTTAATATGGGACTTAAACTTCCATGTGATATTATGTGCATTATTGTTCATAACCACCACTTTAGTCAAACTTGTATAATTCAGTGACGTTTTATCCCAAAATAAAACAAATCATAGAAGTTATTATTAGTCTATCGATTTGGGCCCTAGTTACAGCAGGTTACCAGATTTTCCTATTAACTTTGTTATATCCAGGTCCATTGTGCGTAAGCAGTCATAAGTTTTCTTAGTAAATCAGCAAAATCACTTTGATTTTATAATGTTCCTTGCAAACTAGAATAATTTTTACATTCGAATAGAATACAGCACTTATTATCGTTAAGATAAACAATTTCGGTATCAATGGTTAAGGAATTGATTTTGCCATTGATTTCGTAAGAACTTTGACACAGTGATTATTGTTTATTCTCTATAACCCGCGATTAATGTAGCACATTCTCGGGATTAATCCATTGGAAAAATAGACGTAAAATTCAAATTCAAATTCAAATAATAATTATGAATAGCGTATATCGAGGACGATAACTCTCAAGATCACTACGAACGTTTTCGCACATGCTTCGATCCGATACTATATTAGTATGGTGTGGTATAATACGTACTTTGATAAACGGCGTCTATATTATAGGGGGTTAGATATCGGTAGTATCACAAACATAGGGGACCTCATCGTTATCAAATTCGAAGTTTTTTTCTGCCGATCATTGCCGATCACTTTCAATACTGCAATAGTGAAAAAACGCTAACTTCAAAACCCTAAGGTTTTTGAAGGAAGCAAGCTATGCTCATAGCACTAATACCAATACACAGTATAACATTTGCGCTACAAAAAAATGTGGTTATTTTTTTAAATTTTCAATAAAAAATTTGGAAAAATATTAAATAAAAAAATTCTTACATTTGAAGGAAGTAAGCTACATTCATAAAAGCTATGCCAATGCGATACCCTATAACGGGTCCGTGTCATTTCACCGAAAATCATTTCACCGACGTAATATTTCACCGACAACCATTTAGCCGAAAATCATTTCATCGACAAT